ATTCATTTGGTCACTACAAGAGAGAATCATAAAAACGCTGAGTAAGACGACATCCGAGTTTTTAGTATGAGAAATGTATGTCGCTACTATAGGTGACAGTCATACGAAATATCGTTTTAGTAAAAAACCTAATTCCCACAGAAAACATGGGAGAACAGAGTATGAAAATACACGCTGAAGAAGTAGTAGTCTAGCTGCGTTTTGATGAAAAATCACCGTAACCTAAGAATATTTTTCACGCACTTCTGAAAATCAACAGTTCAAAATCATAAATCAGGAATTTCGATCGAAATGTAATATGTATGTGAAAGTTTGAATGTAGTTTGGAAATTTCTGCTTTCAGAGAGAACAAAAAACAAAACGTGAATTTTAGATAAAAATGAGGAGTCAGTCACTGTTACTATTTATTATTATTATGTTAATATATCCTTTAAATCCTAGAGGAACATAGGGCTTCAGCTGCGCGTCTCCATTGCCTTCGGTTCTCTGCTAGAGTTTTCACCTGGCTCCAAGTCTGCCCATATGCTTTCATCTCCTCTTCACATGACCTCCTCCAAGTCACCCTTGCACTGACGCCCAACTCGCCGCTTCCCTTTCGTGTTCCTCTTGAGGGCTTGTCTAGTGATGTCACTTGATGGTTTCCTACTTGCAACTAATGTTGCTTATTGATCGATTCAAACTTTAATGACGTATGTAAAATGCGACATTCACGATTCATCGTAGTGTTTTACACAGTTTTAACCAGCATTTTATCTCTCAATTCTACGTTGTCTTATATAAATAAATGAAGCATTCAAAAGGTCAAGTCAACACCAGTTTTCTTAAATCTATTGCTACCTGGTTTTTTTATAGTTTTGTAAAATAAACTTTAGCCAGCATTTACGTACGACCCACAGATTTAAAGGTGAGTAGAGTGAGCATAACCTACATGAATACATACCTCGTAAACTACATACCACGTAACGAACAAGCATATATAGACTGAATGAGCTCTGTGAGTGTGTACTGAGAAGAACAGAGGACATTGTTGTACTCGAAGTACTCTATGCAATTTGTTGACTAAATATTTGACTTAAATCTAGATCAGAGGTTAATATAAGAATAGAACTTATGTACTGTGATAGAGTATAATTTCATTGTGGGTAAAATCTATTATGATAAAGTCTTACACATTGTTATACAGTAATATAGCAGATATTAGAAATACCCCTACTTATGAATTATCAAAACACTTAGCTCTAATGTTATGCTCCATTAGAAATCGTTCAAACTCTAGACTAACTAACTAATTCATATGAGATGAAAAATAAACTAAATCACATTCAACTAGAAAATGATGAAGTAATGGTTAGTTTTGATATAACTAGTCTTTATACTAATATACCAATCAATATGGCGGCCTTAGAAACAGTTAAAAAAGAACTAACTGCAGATCCTGAACCCACTCATAGGACGAAGCCGCCCATTGAAGAAATTATTTTAGGGATTCAGTTATGCTGCCTCACATCTACTATCTTTAAATTCCAAGGTAAAATATATAGACATACAGAAGGTGTGTAGCAATGAGATGGATCACCAATATGCCTTATCGTAGCATATATCTTTATGGACAGCTGAGAAAATACTGCTCTTAATACATTTAATCTTACTCCAAAAATATGGTGGAGATATGTGGATGACACTTTCACTCATAGTGTTAAAAATACAACATATCTCTAGCTTCTTGACACACATAAACTCACTAGTGTAGGGAATAAAATTCACATTTGAATCGGAAAATAAACAAAGAGAATTAGCTAGCTATGTTAGATTGTAAAATAAAACGAATAGAAGAAGGTAAACTGCACATTAGCGTTTATAAAAAGCCAACTAATTCCAATGGATATTTAGACTTTAATTCATCCCATCCGTTCGGTGTCTGTTAAGGTAGGCTTAGTGAAATGTCTAACAAACCGAGCAGTAGCACTAAGTAGCACAAAAAAGACTTAAATGATGAAATAAAACAGATAGAAGAAGAGGCGTGGATGTTAAATAACTAACTATCCTATAAAATTCATTTGGAAGATTAGAAAAGGTCAAAAGCAAAATAAAAATAATTGTGAAACTAGTAATAATAACATAAATAAGAGAGAATATAAGTCATCTACAGTTATACCATATAAAGAGGGGACATCTGAGGTCCTACGTAGGATTCTAAATAAGACAGGAATTAGGGTGGGATTCAAACCTACAAACTCACTGAGATACAAGTTCTGTAGGTTAAAAGACTCTGTAGGTTGACCCAATTAAACAAAATAATATAATCTACAAAATACATTGCAATCACTGTGAACGAGGTCAACTACATAGGTCAAACTAATAAGTCGGGAGTAATCAGACTGTCAGAATATAAGAATTTGGCTAAGATAAGAATGGTTGACCCAGAAAAAATAAGTAATTTTGAAAAAAGCTCAGCAATCGCACTGTATGCATTAACACACAACCACGTAATAGGGCGAGTGGGACAGAGTCAAACTTCTAGGAAGTAATATTGGTAGATGGGGAGCGAGAGAGATTCATTATTGAATCCTGGTTCATCGAATCTACACTGAACACGTGCAATAGGAAGGAGTCATCACTCCTACCGGAATTTCGGAAAATACTACTAACAACCAAATCAAGCGATGAAAAATAATGGAATTATATAAACGAAGTTAGAAAATTGTCTGAGTAATGCCTTGATATTATTATGAGCAGTAATAAATTGTGCTCAAAAAGTGATTGGTGATCAGTAAATATTACTGTATAACACTCTGTGAGACTTTATCAAAATAAATTTTACTCACAATGGAATTAGATAAGGGGTTGTGTCACTGTTTTTATCGGTGTGTTGCTAACCTGCAGGAATACAGTTCCTCTTTATTGTGCCTACGTGCATTCAGGGGGTTAGTCATATACTGTCTTGTGTTGTCTTAATATGGTTCATTAAGAGTGATCTTCCTGGTTATTCCCAACCATTCAGTTAAGAAGAACTCAAATCAAGTATTCTTCAACGACTTCACATAGTGAATGTCACTGACTGCTTAATGTATAAACTGTTATGGGATTTTGAAAAATTTCACCTTAATGTACACAGGTGTTAAATGGAACACTACTATTATTATTATTGACACTGAAGAATCTTAGGTAATCAGGTGTCCACAAGGAACTCAGGCAGCTAAGAACCCAATACCTAGCAAATACGCTGAAGTAAATGGAGATGAACTGGACATACAATGAGAAGACAGGTGAATCAAACCACACCGTACATCGTTGAGTGGAAGCTGATTATGCAGTGACAGGTTGGACTTCTGAGGGTGATATGGAGGATATCACACGAAGACGAATTGAAAGCTTACGAGCAGTAGTGAAGCTAAGTGTAATTAGCTGCCGATGTGATGCTGAATTTCACAGATCCTGTCAGACAGGCTTACCTTAAGTGTATCGACTTTTGCGTATCCATCTACAGAAAATAAATATAGGTTTCAAGTGTTGGTTTGTAGGGATTTGATTGGTTTCAGGATTTCATACCAATGAGATGCTCACTGGCGACTGGCCCTATTCAGGTAGGTAGTTACCTGGGTTCCAGTGGGAAGTCGTGACCAGTAGGGTGCAGCTGGTCGGGTGTGAGGACAAATACTCGCCGAAGACATTGGCTAGCGGTCGCGCTATGTCGTGAATTGGTAGAAGTTAGAATTCAAGGACCATTAGATCGGGTCCCAGTGGCTTAATGGTATACGAGCTCGCCTTGTAACCGGAAGGTCCTGGGTTCGAACCCTGATGGGTGGGTGGGTACTGCTGAAGAGTCCCAAACTAGCCTGACGAAACAGCTGTCCAGTACTCCCAGATGGTTTTCCAATGGTTCTCTAACTAATGTCAGCTCATGATGAAATCCTGAAATATAAGTTTATTGTCAGGATCCTGACAGATGCTTCAAAGTTGATTGTAATCTTTTACTGTTCTTCGTCACGAATAGCATTTCCAACAGGTACAGACTTTTATGAACAACTCCCTTTGATGTCTCCTTTCTGAAGATCAGATGGTCAGCCAGAAAGAATTAACGACAAGAAAATATGGGAACTAACCAATTACGAGCCTACTGCTCAACAAATATCCCGAGGAAAATGGGGATGTATCAGATAAACGCCGCTGATGAGACCATCGAATGACATCGCACCCAATGCATGCTAGTCCTCAAGTGGAACTCGAATGGGGAACGAAGAATTGGGCATGTGTCCGAGGGTGACATGGAGGAGGTCGTGTGAGGGGGAGATGAGAGATTATTGGCAAACGTGAGGCGAGCTAAAGCGGACCTCAGTGAACAAGACGTAGTGGAGATGTGCTGTCGAAGCCCGATGTTCCACTCTGAACCAGGGGAACAATAATAATTTAGTAATACCTCAACCATAACGCATGATTGCTTAATATAGTTGGCAATAAGTCTCCTGGTCTTTGAGTAAATACAGCACGCCTAGTGATTATCAGTTAATGATTCTTTAAAGTAAAATTTCCGAAAACAATCAACGCCTTCTCTCTCTCTCTCAGCTTATGTATGTTAAACGTTACCAGTTCATTCATGAGTTACCTCCAGCCAACCTCTAATACCTTTCTCCTTTTCTATTACCTTATTTCCTTACCATAGTCAACTGTATCTCTTTTCCATTTTTTCACCCGTTTCATGGGAACAGGACCACCGATACGCTATGAAACTGAATTCTATTTTACTTCCGTCTGTTTAAGGGATTGTCTTTCTTCCTATAGTTTTTTGTGCGTAATCAAGGGTTATTCGCTATCGTATAGAGCTACAAAAGTCACAAGGACTTTACACTTCTACATCAAAACCTGTAGTACTCAGTATCCTAATACGTTCTTTGTTTTTTTTGCTATCCACAGTCAAAATTTATGCGAATGATACCTGCTAACCCTTAATATTTCCTAATCTTCATCATCTCCTTTCTCTTTTTCTCTCTCATTTTTCCAAGGTCTTCTAATCCTTCTGTGTTGCATTCTCTTTCCTATTGGATGGTCGGACAATAGTGAAATTCTTCAAATCTGTGGCCAACGAAGCTCAAGATTTGATTTAGGTAAGTGGCTTTTTTCTACTATAATAAAAAAGAAATAAAGGAATCCAACCAGAGATAGTCATTTGGACAGTGAGAGTGCCCATTCGTCTACGAACCTGTCTGCCTGTCTGTCTACCCGCCTCAGGTTCGATCAGGAACTGGTATCCACTAGAGAACCACTGAATACCAAGAAGTACTAGACACCCGTTTACTCCTAATTTAAGACTCTTCAGCAGTACCTACGCAAGAGGCAACTAAAGATCTAAGCCAGGATCATTAGGTTACAAGGTAAGCCTGTTGGACATTCAGCTACTGGAATTGTATCCAAAGGTTGATGAATTCTAACCCCTGACAATTCACGATATATATATAGAGCAGCCGTCAGCCGATATCATCAGTGAGTATCAGTCCTCAGACCCAACTTGATGCATTCTGCTGGCCGTGGTTTCTCATTAAAAGTTCAATTAACTTCATCCTGTATCTAGTCACTATTTAACACCACCTGTCTATCCATCTGCCTGTCAGTTATAAGTAGACTTTTTAAACGCCATTCAATGAAATTGATCGAATACAAAATATCTGTGTTACGTAATGCTACAGCCTATGAAGTGAGGATAATGTCTAGATTCAAATTCATTGTTCACAAAAACTCACCAACAAGAAAACCAGTCTCCCACTGATGTGATATAAGTAACCTCCATTAAATGTCATTGGTCAGCACCTGGGCATCTACTCACCTGCCTCCCCTTGTTACCATCTTGCTGACTGTAGGAGACAGACACTAGGTGGAAGCGTTAGTATTTCCTATTTAGAAATATCAATAAATCACAGTTTCACTGGGCTTAAGGTTTTGTATAGTCCAGAAAACGTCTTTGTTTGCATTCCTCTTGAAGAGAATTATAAACCTGATAAAATCGAACTTACAAAAATCAATATGATTTAACAAAGAAGTTTAAAACTCAAGTGACGGTCTGCAGGGATTTGATTTGATTGGTTACAGGATTTCATCATGAGCCGATATCGGTTAGAACACCATTGGAAAACCTGGGAATCCTCGACAGCTGTTTTGTAAGGCTAGTTTGGACACTTCATTAGTATGCACCCACCACCAGGGTTCAAACCCAGGGCATTCCGGTTAGAAGGGGAAGTCTTAGAAGGTCCTGGGTTCGAACCCTGGCTGTAGGTGTGTGCTTTTGAAGGGTCCTAAACCAGGAAGAAATAACTGCCGAGAACTTACAGGTTTTCTAGCTCATGAAGAAATCCTGTAATCTAAGAAGTTTAAAAATAGCACTACATGTAATTTATCTAAAGCACCGTTAAAAGATTTCAGTGTAAAATTCATCACGATTTGAAATTAGTTAGTGAGTCATTGAAAATCACAGAGAACTGGGAAGCTGTTTTATCCTTTTCTGTGGAACTCTTCGGTGGTATTCAATAACAACAGAACCAGCAACTGAACCTTGAACTTTAAGGTTACAGTGATGATTTGGTGTTGATTCGTGAGGAGATCTGCACTGAAAATAATCAAAATCTCTACAGATCCAAAACTTTGGAAATCTCTGAATTTTTACTAATCCGCTTGCTAAGAAATTGACGTCCTAAAGCTCTACTAAGAACTTGTGGTTAATGGGATCTAGCGTGATGGTTGGGTTTGATGCGAATTCCCACCAGCGGTACTGGTTGACGCTATCTCCATACGACGAATTAGCTGACAGAGGCTGGAGTCCTTTGACTATCAGGCCACGTCCGAGTAACTGAACAATCGACAGATACACTTCGTGACTTCAAGGTTCAGCGTTTGATCATTGATAGAGTCACTGGCACGAAACAACTTCCCAGCGCACTTTACTTCCAAACAATTCTCTAGAGGATATCGGTATGGAACGCAGTCTACACCAAAATTACTCAAAATGGCTACAAATTCATAATAATGTATGTATGCATTATAATAAAGGTTTTCTTGCATTTCCCAATGAATGAAAAACACAACGATTCTGTTGTTCTGTTTACTGACGTTTCGCCATTTAATGCTGCTGCTAATAGCTGCTTTATCAAAGTAGTAGTATTGAACCAGAATTTAAAAAATCCACTCAGCATATATATAACAGCTTAATCATCGTTCCTCAGCATGGGGTCATTTTCGCATTGTCAAGTTGGACAGTTGGTAAAGATAACAAAACCAAGTGTGTGTAGATTGTTCGATTTGAAAAAGCAAAACAACTACCCAAGAAACTTCATCAACAAAATCAACACTGACATTAAGTATGGTCGAAAACGTGTTCCGAAGGACATGGACCTCAACAGTCGTCATTCCATATAGAGCGGAGATGTCAGACGATATCATCAGAAGAGTAGTCAATAAGCTCGACATCAGAGTTTCGTTCAAAACATCAGGCACTCACACTACAAAACAACCTTGTCCACATAAAAGACCGGATCCCTAAAGATTCTCTGTCTAATTGTGTCTGTAAAATAAAATGCTTGGAATGTGATGCAATCTACATCGGACAAACATCTCAAGAAATCAAAATCAGAAGAAATGAACACCGTAGAGCATCTGTTCAACCACCGAGAAATCCAGTTAAACTAGAAGAACTTGAAAAATCATCAGCTACAGGTGTCTACCACACAATTGATTTTGACAATATTGAAATAATCCAGAAAATCTTCAGAAATCACAAAGAACTTCTAACATCATCAGAAGCACTTCATATCAAATGGAATCCAAATTGTCTCGAGAATATGAATAATGGAGTGAAATAGAATTTGACCTGTTTACAACACCCCTTTTCCTATCCATGAAGTGACAAAATCAACACAGATGTGGGATAAGCAATTTCATTATGTAAACAAACGCTGTTTTTATAATTTTACACACTTATAAAATCGAACAATCTATAACTGGTTACAGGATTTCATTATGAGCTGACACTGGTTAGAGAACCATTGGAAAACCTGGGAGTACTGGATAGCTGTATCGTCCTAGTTTGGGACTCTTCAGCTGTACGCAGTGCGCAACCACTAGCCTATGTGTTCGAGGAGTATTTGTCCCACACCTGACCTACTGCACCCTACTGGTCACGACTTCTCACTATGTCGCGCGCTATGTTGTGAAATGGCAGAAGTTAGAATTCATGGGCCACTGGACTGGATCCCAGTGGCTTAATGGTCTACGAGTTCGCTTTGTAACCAGAAGGTCCTGGATTCCAACCGTGGTAGTGGGATGGGTGCGTACTGATGAAGAGTCCCGAACTAGGACGAAACAGCTGGTTGTCAAGTACTCTGAGGTTTCCCAGTGGTTCTCTAACCAATGTCAGCTCATGATGAAATCCTGTAACCAATCAAATCCTTGCACACCAACACTTGAATCTACACCTCGTTTTGTTATCTTAACCAATTGGCCAATTTGACAACGCGAAAATAACCCCATGCTGACGAGCGATGATTAAGTTGTTATAAATATGCTAAGATTTTGTGAATTCTGGTTTAATACTACTACTTTGATAAAGCAGCTATTAGCAGCAGCATTAAATGGCGAAACGTCAGTAAACAGAACAACAGAATCGTTTTGTTTTTCATTCATTGGGAAATGCTAGAAAACCTTTATTATAATGAATATCCTATACCCAATGCCCAAATTTTTTTTCAAACTGTTAAAAGTGAACTTGGTTCGGTCATATATAATGCAGATATGTGCACATATATTTGTATCAAGTTTCATCAGGCATTGATATAAGTCAAAGAACCATTGAAAACCAGCACTCCACTACTGGACAGCCAGCTGTTTCGTCAGCTTACTTTCGAAGTCATCAGAAGCACGCACCTCCACCTACTTCCAGGTTTCGAACCTAGGACATGCAGGTTACAAGACAAGCAATCTTGTTGAAGATTCAGCCAGTGACATCCGACTCCTCAATGGCCATAAGCCCACAAACTCTAACTTCCACCAATTCGTGACTTCTTTCGGGGGAACTGGCAGCAGCCAGCGTGTCATTACTGGAGAGCATGTCTGCCCCCACTCTCGAGTGGATAGACTCCGCTGGTTGCGACTTCTCACCAGAACTCCAGTCAATTTCATCTGTCTGTAGCCAGTCCCTAACGAGTATCAGATTAGTTTTTAATTAAATCAAGTCCCTAAAAATGAACTCATGAATATATATATATATATAATACGTCTACAAAATTCCAGTTATTGACTTTTTGTTGACCCAATTTTTCCTGGTAGGAAAACCCTTTTTTAAATGAAATTTCCTTATATTTTTCTACCGATAAATTCATTTGTGTTTGCATTAATTCTGTTAGCAGCTTTGCGTGTGCCTGTATCTGTGCAATCTACCTTTCTATCTATCTATCTATATATCTATTAATAAATTTTTAATCAGTCATTTAAATCTGTCTAAAAGTTTTTCAAGGAAACAGTCAGTCATCTTGACTACTTATTTTCTGATAAAAGTAGTGTTTTCCCCTTCTAAAATGAAATCGAATGAAATTTAGGCGTATCTTTATCAAACTGTATACATCCGATAAATTTTAAACAGTCTACTCATAATAGTCATGCGTATTGTTATTTGCAGTAAAGGGGAAAGACTTTGTATCTCTATTTGTCTATGGATTACTAAGCATTTGCGAATTATTTCGTGTGTACTTAGCCAATTTTCTAAAATATTTCTCTAAAGCTGACTATATCACTTGATAACTTATTGATAAGCTATGCAAGTTTTGATGACAACTCTAACAGTAAGTGAGACCAAAGATCCGCTTTCCTTTTTAAATTTAGAGGTAGAGTATGCACATATATATATTAATTGCTCATGGTACTACCACTTTCCATTCAACCTACCGCGATCAACGACATGACAACTTCTACATAACAGAATAAAAGGGTGTTGTCTAATTCAATTCTAATGTTCCCATTGATTTGATGGACAGAAGTGTTCGAGCCTCTGATGATACGTCGGCTACATGTTCGGATGTTTCTAAGATATCTGGAGATTTAACCTGAAGGAATCTGGTGGATGTTGGCTAACAATGGAAACCAGGATAATGGGCATTTCGTCCTATTTGGGACTCATCAATGGATCTACTTGCATCTCTCCAGTGAGTGATGGTCTTCTCAGGAGCACTTCTGTCCAATCAATCAACAGGAAAGTTCAAATCCAACTAAATGATAACTGATACCCTCGCACAAGAGGTTGAGAGGGGGACACCATCACTGACTCACTGGAGAATGCAGGTACATGCAGAGATGAGTCCCGAATAGGACAAAATGAACATCTTGGATTCCACTGCTAGTCACTACCCACTACATCATACTTTGAAAAGATGATTGCGTAAGAAAGACTATAGCTAGATAACGCAGCTGATGTACAATTAATAAGTTATGTAATAATGTGATAACTTCAAGTCAAGTAAGGGAAGAGACTAAATGAACATGATATGCAATCAAATAGTAGGAAGAGACATGAAATTACATCACAAGAACAAACAACGACTGACAATTTCTTCTTTTCAATGAATACATAAATCTCGTTCCAAATGTGTGATAGCAGTTACATCAGTAAAATTGAGAATCTCAGAATGGACATGAGTTTCTTCAAGGTGCCTTTCTGATTGGTGAGTGCCAACCAGGACGAAACCTTGGTCAAGGTTTCCTGCTGACGTTCTCCAACCATCTAATGACAAGAATTGGTTTGTACTGTTTACTGATTATGTCCAAAGTTCTCAGACTGTCTCATTCGTGACTGTGCGTTGGTGGTGCTGAGGTAGAATGATTGCCAACCATGTACGTGGTCCGACATTCGACCCCTGACCGAAACACTTCAAAACCTCGCTTAGCTGGCAGCAAGAATGGTAAGGGGAAAGGTTGGGCATGAGGCTATCAACCCAATCTCGTAAAAGTAAGCACCACTGCTACCGAAACTTCAAAGCTGTAGCATGAAGCCCTATGTTTTACTGGAATGTAGAGAAATATAAATTGTACCCGCCGGGATTCGAAGCCAGGACAATTCTTTTACACCTGAAGTCTTAGTGAGAAGTCACAACAAGCGGGGACAGCCAAGTTAGGTTATAGGTTAGTAGTTACTCGCCTGTAACATTGCCTGGCGGATGCGCTATATATATACCACGGAATATTAGGAGCTGGAATTCACAGGTTGGTCATTCGATCCAGTCCTAGTGGCCTAATGTTCTACGAGGTTGTCTTGTAACCGGGGATTCATGGATTCGAACCTTGGTGGAGGATGTGCATTGCCTATTAGTCCTTGAAACTTAATTGAATTGATGTAATCCTTATTTTCCCTGTTCTTTTTATATTTCCCTTTTAAAAATCCACTATAGGTCATTGTCAACTTGGTTGGGCGTATGTTATCACAATTATGAGTGGTTTATTGTCCGTTTTTTGTGCTGTCCTACCAAATTTATGCTTTCCAAAAATATTACATGAGCTGAAACAACGTAAATCCCACTGTGTCAAAGAGAAACAAGAACAGGCAAATGAATTGATACCGCATATGTTATCACATGAGTATAATACAGCAGTAACAGGCAGTGGTGCAGCAACAGTTGCCGCTAGCGCTGGACCAGCTGCAGCATCCATTGAAACTGCTTCAACAAGTGTGCATATGTCTGATCCACGTATTCATCGTATTGGCTTTGAATCACCATGGATGAGAAATTGGAGTTGCATGAATACACCTGGACCAATACATGGACAAGGACAAGGACCAGTTGTACTACTGCATCCTGATTATAATCTACATCCTGGAACCATTCCAGTATATACAGAAAGTCAGTTGGGATGTAGTCAAGGTAGTTTAGATGATGGTTCTTCAACAGGCACAGAAAAGAAATCCGCCTTTCCGGTGCCATCGAATTCTTTTGCAAATAAATTATCAAACACAGAGAATACTAAAAATAATTAATGATAAGTAAATATAATATGCATTTATATCTTCACAAGGATACTCCTACACCTTATGCCTTCAAATTTCTATTGTAATTACTGAAATGCATGAAATGCTAATTAACACTCTCCACCTAGTTCTACAAATTTTTATGTATATCATATCATATGCAGTATCATTCATTCATTAAATTGGAGGGAAACTGAACATATAAATCCGTCATATCTGATGAATACAATACTTCTTCATTCTAGCCAGAGTAAATGCTGACTATTCACATATTGCTACTTATACATTTGTAAGTAGCTCAAAACGCTTGAATACATTTTTCAGATAAGTGCATGACAATACACAATACACAGTTTGGGATCAAGCAAGCATTCTGCATTATGTGTCATCCCGATAGTGCTTTGAAGAATCCTCTGATTAATGCATATCTTCGTGTATTACCCAAGCTTCAGATGTTAGGAATTCTGATTTTCTCAGTATACGACAATAATAAATGATGAATCGAAATTGAAGCACACCCATGAAGTTAAACATGCCTAATTAAGCCTAGCTTTATTCTGTGTTGAACGCTGTCTTTCTTTTGAAGAAAAACCAAGCGATATGCATGTGTTCTCTATCCTGTTGTATAAACATAGTTTTCAACAGAATAATACAAGCAATGCCTTATGAATAAATCATATTATTTCTCTGTCATAAGATTTCTCTGTTTTTTTATCAGCATACTAAGATAAATAAACATGTTCTTATTCAAATGACTGGCGTTTTCTGTTATCTGTGAAATGGGTGATTTAAGTAAGAAGCACTCATTGTCCTTCTAAACAACATATTCAGTGTTCACCTTAAGTGAGTATAACTGATCTTGAACCAACCAATCATATCGCTCGGCGTTACAAATAGACACTTTTCATAATCTTCGTTGCAAGTTTCACGCTAACCTCAATCATAACACTATCTTAATACTAGCCTAACCTTAAATCTGCAACGAAAATCATGAAAGGCATCTATTTGTAATGTTGAGCGATCTGAGTGGTTGATTCAGGGCCATTTGACTGCTATGTTTAGTCTATACTGGTTTCCAAGTGAGCTTCCGGAATTCGCCATGAATGAAAGAACCATTTTGCTTGACGAAACGTTTACTGTAGGTCGTTTGTCTCTTGAAATTTTCTCATTTTATTATTCTCACAGTTGTGTTGGCATTGATCCTCTAGTTGACTTGATATTTGATCTCCTCATTGTGTGATTTATCCAGCGTTGATTGATGAATTCTGTCGGCATACTCACATCTCTAGTAATTGGAAATGGAACTGAATACCAGACTTCTAGGTATATTCTGGCGTTCATCGCGAGCTTCCTCTGTTTAAGATGTTTGCTTTATATCAGTCAAACTGATATTTGTATTTGCCTGTGTCCTTTGACATGAGGGTGTGCATGTCTTATCAGTATACGAATAAATGCTTATAATAATTTAGACGCTTATCGTATTTATTTATTTTTTTGATTACAGCTTGATACCACACCGTACTTTTTGGTATAAGTATGATATTTTCAGCATGTGACGTCGATAGCCTAAATTCTGCAGGCCGACCACAGAAATCAGGTGTGCGTCGGCAGGGGATCGAACCTCAGACCATGTGCATGGTCGACGAGAGTCCGAAGTAATTTTAGGGTGGTGACAATTTCAGGTGTTGGTTTGTAGAGATGCCATTGTTTATGAGAGTTGAGTGTGCAACATATGGTTTGTTTATTAGAACTAACCTCCATTTGGCGGGAAAAAATAATGACAGCAGTTGCCTGATCTGACGGTGGTCGGTAGAAGACTGGAAACATACAATCAGAAGTATTAATGTACTTTGTATTAACGTTTATTCATAGACTGTGTGCATTGTAACTGTGATGTTCTGCTTCATTTTTGCCGAAGAAATAAACAATTCTCATATCTCCAATCCATTTTCTGATATTCTGGCGTCGGTTATCGCACATACTCTTCTGAGGCATGAATTAGTCTTCTAGAATCAGTGCTAGGTGGTTCAGGAACTTTTGCGATCTAAACATTTGACAAGAAGCTTTATTGATTTCAATACTAACTGACATTAGTTAGAAAACTGTTGAAAACTAGGGGGTACTGTGCACCACTTTCGTCCTAATTTGAGGCTTGTCAGTGGAAAACTCTTTATATCTTCTTCAATGAATTGTCTACATTGAATGACACTTGTACTGTGCTTCGAATTACTTATTTATTACAATGCTTATAAGTGGTAGTTAGTGTCAAATCCTCTGAAAAATTTACCATAGTTTAACATGTAATTAGTAAACCTATTTCAGAAGAAATTAGTGACAAAGAATTACAATAACCAATGTTTATTTACAGTACAGAATTTTTAACTTGGTTTTATCTACTCCTTATACTTAATCTTCGGATGGAGCAACAATTTAAAGTATGTACTATTCGAACGTATCTGTCCCTTCAAAATGGAGGTCTGTGACAGCAGTCTACTGAGTGACACACGTTTGAATCTCAAAGGGAAAATCAACATCGCAGATACGCCCCGATGACGAATACTAGTTAGTACGAAATTCAGATCTTATGATTCCTGCTAAACTGCTTTTTACCATCCAACTATTTCAATCTGTCATTAATCTATTTGTTATACAAAACTAATTTTTCTAAAATATTACATTTATCTTTACATTGCAGTGCTGTTTTTACTTCCCTTCCCTCACCAATTTGTGACCTTCAAACCTTATTGGTTGTTGACTGTTCTTACTTATCAGAATCATTAGTATCCCTCAAGGCCACGCAATTGCTGCTAATCCTTTTCGCTGTTGATTGGAGATAGCATAAGCTTTCTACGTCAACGGTCTGTGTTCTTGGCTTCTTGTGTCGTGGGTTCGATGGTATCGAATCGTGTTGTTGTTGTTATTAGTAGTAGTGATTAAAACAGTACGCTAGCAAATCGATGGCGAAGTTAAACAATAGCATCCCAGAAGTGTGAACGCTACAATGACCTTGAACGCATGCTAGTCGCTGACTAGTGGCACCTGTTATTATTATAGCTGATATATCAACAGTATTGACCAACTAAGGAGCATATTTCGCCCAGATCACGTTTTTAAATGCTCTTTGAACAATGTATTAATAGCTCACCAGGGTTAAGATAAGTATTGGGGTTAGGATTATGATCAGGGTTGTAATTAGGTTAGGATTAAGGTCGGGTTTAGTGTTAAGTTCATGCTTAGGGTCAGGATTAAAGTTAGGGTTACGATTAGGAGTTGATCTAGCGTTGATATCATTTATTTTAATTTGTTTATTTATCCACATTTCCCTGGTAGGTAGTTGTCGATCCTCTTTTTGGAAACCATAGTAATTCAACTGAAGGCTTTTGGGGAAGACTGCACAACAGGATAAGAGAGACAAACAATTCACGAAAACAGATCATCTTCTGTCACCTCGGTGAATACATGTACAGGAACTAGTCTAACTAAGCAAGTGATACTCCTCATTATAACTGAGGCGTACTTTCAAGTCATGTCAGAAAAATATAACCTGTTTAATGTGTTTTCATGCATTTTCGTGTAAGTATACGTCATTTTTCATGCAGAAATTCCTCAGTTTTATGATTCATCTTCTCAGGGTCACTCATACGTTCGCATCCTTTGAGACGGTATTGTTGAACTTTGCCAAATCGACTAGGTAGGAAATCGGTTAGCGCAAACTACTAAATTTATTAACGGTTATATCAGCATTGCAGAGCCTTTAGTTCATACTACCTCACGGGTCACTAAGGCCATTTTTTTTCCTTCACGTTCCCCAGTGGAACATAGGGCTTCGAGCTAGTAGCCTGAAGTTTCTGTAGCAGAGTTTATTTTACAGGATGGGGTTGATAGCCTCATGCCCAACCCTTCCTCTTTACCAGCATTATTTCTGGCTTAGAGAGGTAAAGGATTGCGTCGGCCGGGGATCGAACCCCGGACCATGTGCATGGTCGGCGAGCGTCCTAACCGCTATACCACCGACGCACTAAGGCCATTAACCACCTTAAATTCTAACTAAGTTTATTTACAATGGTAACTTGCTAAGCTGATAGCGTAACCATTTCTTATTAGATTTTCATTCTTCTTTAAACTTCAATCTTAAACTATTGTGACAGAAGATAATACTGAATTTGGATTCGTTCCACTGGCCTGCCAACAGGAGACAATATACAACTGATCAACCTACTATTATTCTCGCAACAGGAAGCAGAGAGAAGACTGACTGAAAGGGCAAAGACTTATTGCTTCATCATCGGAAAAAGTATAGAATGGTGGTCAAACCTCTGCACCAACTTCATTGACTTTGAAAATGCCTTCAACAGCGTTGACGGCGAAGTAATTTGGGAACTACTTTAACACTATGGAGTACAGTACCTCAAATCTTTATCATCTTCATTCAGCCATTCATTCACGACAGAAAACTCAACGAAGACGCTGAAGTGAAGACAGGAGTAAGATAAGACTGACCGCCTATTATCACCGATGTTATTCCTAATTGTGATGGACTGCACCATCGGTCAAACTGTGCACAGGAAGTGAGAAGAAAGGAATACTATGGAATGATAGGAAGACTGTACAGGACGTGGGATTCGCAGATGATTTATATCTAGTGTCACACAGAATCGAAGACTTAGAGGTGAAAACCAACTAACTAACTGGTAGAAGAAGCATCCATCGAAGACAAAACTTCAAGTGAACATAGAGAGGACGGTGGTGATGAAACAACGTCCATCGTATCACGAAAATAGCGGAGAGGAAGATTTGGAGTCCAAGGGAGCGAGTGGACCTGTAGTGCACCAAAACACGGAAGACACGAAAAGAAGACAAAAAGAAAGGCGATACAAAGGACAGATGTAGCACAACACTGAAGATCTGTGGGAGTGACAATTTTAATATACGGTGGGCATATTTTCCACAATTTTCTTTCCCTCCCCTCTTTTCTACAGTGTTTTCTCTGATTATTATCAGTATTACTTTTATCATTATTATCTTCAAGAGGTTGTTTGTAAGGATTTGATTTGTTTCTGAATTTAAACACAAACTGATATCAATCAAAGAAGCATTAAAACATACCAGGAAGTACTGGAGAGCTGTTTCATCAGCCTAGCCTGCAACTCCTAGACAGGACATACTCACAGTCAGGTTTAGAAACCAGGACCTGCCGGTGGTTACAAGGCGAGATCATAAGTCATTCAGCTAGTGGGTTCCAGTTCAATGGCTGGTCTGCGAATTCCAACTTCTGTCAATTGATGATTTTTAGCATGACCACCAGAAAGTATCCTATGTGGCGAGTATTCATCCTCATATCCGTCCAACCTAGTGAATCTCATTGGTCAATGAATTTTCGCTAGAACTGCAGGCAGTTTTATCCTGTAGCTAGTTACTAAAGAGTATCAGATCAATGTTCAGGGAAGACTTTGCACATCAGAAATCATAAATGAGTATTAAGGTTGACGAGTAGTGTTCAAACTATCTTATGAGTTTAAATAAATCAAATATGTTAAAATCGTGTTTTTTAGTCCCTTATAGTCTAAATATTTTAAATTAATTCATTTGTTTTAACAAAGTTTTCTTGCATTTCAATATTATCAGATCTATTTGTTTACACTTGTATTAATCCTACCCCAACAACTCAATTTAATGTGTTAATATGTACTTTGATGAATATTATTCACTTAATGATGAAGTTAGCAGATTAACATCTAAGAGAACTTAAAGATCGTGTATTTGTTCCAACTGATACTTTTTGGTTACAGGATTTCATCATGAGCTGACATCGGTTAGACAAC